CCCTCTTCTTTGAAGCCAGAATCATTGATTTTACTAAGGTTTTGGCCCCATCTTGGCCTTCTGAGGGGGCAGCGCTAATTAAAGCTCCCCTCTTCTTTGATCGATTTCCTCCAAGATGGCCCCAAGAAGCGCCCAGGAGGCACCAAGAGGCCCCAAAATGGCCCCAAGATGGCCCCAAGAGGCCCCCAGGAGGCCCCCAAGAGGATCCCAAACGGCCCAAAGAGGCCCCCCCGAGGCACCCAAGACGCCGAAAAGCCCCTCAGGACGACCCTCTACTCGCCTGGGCGTCGTTTCTGGACGGGTTGGTGGGGATACGCGAAGCGTCTAGAATTTACTCTCACCCTTGGTGGATCGATTTATTCGAAGATAACCCCAAAGGCTCTCAAGAGTACTTCAAAATCCCCACGAGGCGCCAAGGAGGCCCCTAGAGGCACCCAAGGGGTACCCACGAGGCTCCCCAAAGACCCCCAAGAAGCCTGTAAGAGGCCCCCCCGAGTCACCCAAGACGTCCCAAGAGGCCCCCGGGACCGCCACGAGCCCCCCCACCCCCCCAGAAGAACTCCAAGAGGCTTTCAAACTCCAAGGTATTCAAGAGGCCTCTGGCCTTTTTGCTGAGCCTGCTCCTCCTCCTCCTCCTCCTCCTCCTCCTCCTCCTCCTCCTCCTCCTCCTCCTGATACTTATCCGCCCATTAAAATGGTCCACATAAGCCCCACCAGCCCTCTGGGCGTAGGTAGTCTAGGGAGGCTCCTCTTCCAACCCCCTTCTTCCCCTTCGGGGAGGGGTTTACCCCTCTCCCCTCCCCTTTCCCCTGGACCTGGGCGTCCAACAAGGCTTCGGCAAGGATGCCCAAATCATTGGTTGTACTATGGTTTTGGCTCCGTGTTGGCCTCTTGGGGGTCAGGGCTAAAAGGAGCTCCCCCCTTCTTTGCTCGATGTCCAAAATGGCCCCAAGAAGCGCCCAGGAGGCTCCAAGAGGCTCCAAAATGGCCCCAAGATGGCCCCAAGAGGCTCCCAAGAGGCCCCCAGGAGGGCCCCCAAAAAGACCCCAAGCGGCCCCAAGAGGCCCCCCGAGGCACCCAAGACGCCCAAAGAGCCCCACAGGACCGCCAAGAGACCCCCAAGATGTCCCAAGAGGCCACCAAGAAGCGCCCAAGAAATACTTCAAAAGACCTCTGGCCCTGTTGCTTGCCCTCCTCCCTCTTTCCTCCTTCTACTCCTTCTCTTCCTCCTCCTCCTCCTCCACCTCCTCCTCCTCTTCATCCTCTTTCTCCCCACTCCCACATTCATCCATCCCGCCTCCTCCTTCTCCTCCTCCTTCCTTCGCACGGTTCGGCCGTCCCCCTCTTTGCTCTCGCACTTCCCTGATCTCCTCAACTCGCCTGGACATAGTTTCTGGATGGGCAGGTGGGGATACTTTTTTTTCGCGGCCGCAGGCGAAGGTGCCCACAACGTCAGCAGAATTGACTCGGGCTACGAGCAACCTAATTGCCGGCGCGCGCGCCGAGCAGGGCAAGACCTACCGCCAAAGGAAGCTGCCGCGCTGGGGCTGAGCTGCGCCGAAGGTGAGGACTGCCAGCTGCGGAGGCTGCCAGGGTGCTGCAACGTGCGAGTACCGTGGGAGCTGAATCACCAGGCGCGCGAATTAGGCCTTGTCGCCACCGGGCGCCAGAGGACATGGCAGCAGACCGACAGGTGACACGCCAGGCCGCTCAAGAAGGCTGAACCACTCCTGAATGAACCGGCGGGCCAATACCCCATGTGGCCAGCTGACGACCAGAAGCCAGGGAAGTGCAAGCACTCGTGCCGGAGCTGGTCAGAACGCGCGACACCTGAACGCCAGGGCTCACTCGGCTCCACGGCACAGAGAGAGAGCCAGCGGCCAGTGGACGGGCGCCTCCACCGAGGGCTGAGGGGAACAGAGTCCGCGGCGCCAGCGGCGAAGTGGGAGCCAGACGCGGCCAGGCAAGGCGGTGGTGCAAGCACTCGCGCCGGTACTGGTCAAGACGCGTGAGTCGAGGACGCCACGAAAGGGCCAGAAACTGGTTGGGATATGCGAAGCGTCTAGAATTTCCAACAGGCTGTCGTGCCGAAGGGTGCACGAGGGCATTATGGTTGACACCTGGGCCAGTTCAGGCTGATGCTCAGTTTCGGTTTGCCGGCTGCTCCCCCCCCGTCTCTTTGTTCTACTGCTTGCCCTTGCAATTCTATGGTCGAAACACTTCGCCTGAGCATCGTTTCTGGCTAAGCAGGTGGGTACACCCGAAGCGTCAACAATTCACTGTCGCTGCAGTTTACCAAATACAGTCATCGGCCTGACCTAAGGAACGATAAATAAGGAACGAAGTCCCTTTTCTATCCCAAGGAATAACGCATAAGGAACGATAAATAACAAATAACGCATTAGGAACTGTAAATAACGCATGCAAACCTAAGGAACGACCGAGCCCCTTTTGAGAAGTAAGTGTTCCTTATTCAAGCCGCTCACTGTAGCCACCTCGTGCTCAAGCTCCAGCCCTACCTCGTGGCCTGGCCTCAGTAGTTCGTGTTCGGTCCAGCTCCAGGCTCGCGACCGCCCGCTCACGTGCCCAAACCGATCTGCAGAAGGCACGATGTGAGTGAAGGGTGGACGACGTACAGTCGAGGCGTTGACCTAAGGAACCCTAAATAAGGAACGGGGCCCCTTTCTGCCATAAGTTGAACTTCGATTTCCCATGGGAAACCTCAGGAGAACCGAAGGTACACTGCAGAACAAGCAAGGAACACCGAGCCCCTCCCCAACGAAAAGGGTTCCTTCTGCAGGGCCCCAGCTATATGGTTTTGCGAAGCAGCCACTACCAATTCGTTATGGGCTGTGCTATTTCAAACTCGTTATAAGCTGCCTTGGGCACGTCTTTCGAGGCCTCTCGAATGGGGCTCGGAGTGCATGGGGTCGGAAGATCGCGCCGCATCGGCGATGCATCGGCGAAGTCGGCGTGAAAAAGACTGGACTCCACATCGAGCTGCATCGCTCCTGCATCGGCGATGCGGCGCACTCCTGCAACCCCAGCTACTCTGACCCCGTCTGAAGGCCCAGAATATTGGGGCGACGGGGACGACGCCCCGAACTCCAAACGTTGGAAGGACGTACCGAACGAAGCCCAATCCCAGCCAGACCTGCCGAAGGGACCAACCCAGCAAATCGGGGGGATTTCCGAAGCGAAGCTTGCCCACCTCAGCACGCACACAGCCAAGCCCGACAGCAAGCGCAGAGTGATTGCTTCTCAGGCGAAGCTGGGCTGAAACCAGGAACTGTCTAATACGAACGGCACAAGGTGATCAGATCTTCCATTCGAAATCGCGCCCAAACCAATCCAAACCATGCTATTGAATCGTGGAGATTTCTGAAGCGACGCCAAAGCCACGCCAGGCAATGTGTGGGGAACTCTCGAGCGAAACTCAAGACACGCCACTACAGACACCAAGCCAGGACCACAGGCACACAGCAAGGCCAAACCCAGGATGAGCAAGGGGCCGAGCCCAGCGAGCGTTGAAAACCTCACAAACGAAACCGATCGGCCATGCTCCAGCCGCTCTCACGAAGCGAACCCTTACCCGAGGAACGGATGGCACAACAGGAGGCGGACCATCCGCAAGCGTGGGCGCTTCGAGATTCATATCGGGCGTTGGCAGAGCTGGGTGTAGTGGGACCTGGCTGAGTGATGTGTTCTGGGGGACGCCCCCCGCGCCCCGTTCCACTAACTGGAACTGCCGCAACCCGAAAAAGCACCGGCTACGGCAAACCTGGCTTAGTGACTCTGACCAATTCAAGTGTCTGGGACCCTATAGCCGGGTCCCCTTACCTGCGGTCCTGGCCATACCCGACCATATTGAAGGGGAACTGGGACACACAAATAAATAGACACAAATAACCATATTCCCCATATTTTCGTATATTGTCTGAGGTTTTGTCTTCCCCCCTGCTCCCCATATTTTCCCATATTTCCTGGGGAAGCGGCGATTCATTGTGTCCGTGTGTTTTTTTCCCTCCTGACATACTGCGGCTGGCGCTGCGGAGATGACGTGCAAGCATCGACCTCGGAAGCAGCACGCTGTCCCTGTGAGACGGCCCTCCCGCGAGGGCGCTGCCGGGGCCTCCTCGGTGCACGCCGCCCCCCGCAAGGGAAGACCGCGCGCAGTGCGCGGGGCCGGCGGCGCCCCACCGCGCGCTCCCATTGGCCACGCCAGGCAGACCCCCGAACCTGCAGATGGGCCTCCGACGACTTTGCCTCCTCCTCCTCCTCCTCCTCCTCCTCCTCCTCCTCCTCCTCCTCCCTAATTCCATCGCCGCTGCCCCATGCCTGCTGGGCCTGCCGCCCGTACTGCAGCGGCAGAGAACCACCTGGCACGGTCTCTCGTGGCTCCGCATCGGCACGGCCCAGCCTGCGTGGCTTGGCCTCGGCCCTGCGGAACTCACCGTGTGGGCCCGTAAGAGCCAAGCGCGTCCACAAACCCTGATCCTCTTCCTCCTCCTCCTCCTCCTCCTCCTCCTCCTCGCCCTCCTCCGCCGGGAGGCCTATGCCGACGATGCGAAGTCTGACTCCAACCCGCGGCCCCGGCGCGGGAGCTACTCGCGCACGGCCCGGGGAACGGCGGCCCCTTTGCAGAGCCCGGAGCTGGGCGGAAGGCGCCCGCTCTCGGGGAGCCACACCCTTCGGAGGTCTGCGAGCCAGGGTCCGCCCCCTTCGGGCGGGTGGTGACGGGGGGCTGACCTGCAGGGGGAGGGAAGAGAACTGCCCCCAAAGGGTCCCCTCAGGCCCCCCCCCCTTTGGGGCCCCTGCCGGCCCCGAGAGGGGCCCTTGGGGGCCCTGGAGTGGAGGTGCAGAGAGCAGACCTAGAATGGCTCTCGGGGGCCCTTTTTGGTCCCCTGCTGGCCCCGAAAGGAGCCCCGCGAGGCCCTTTCCTCCACCCCCCGTTCAAGCCGCCCTCCATTACCGTCCGCCCGATCCCCCCCCCTCCCCTCTTGCACATCCCGGCGTTGCCGTCGAGGGTGCACTCCTGGGGCGGCGCGGGCGGGCGCGGGAGCAGCCCGCGCGCTGCCGCCGCTCTGGCCTCCCGGTCCGGGCAGTCATGGCCGCCGTCGCCGCGCCGCTGCTGCCGAGGAGGAGCCGAGCAGAAAAAGGAAGTGGAGCGTGGCCAAAAAGAGTTCAAGCTCCGCGCCTACTCCAGATTTCGTAATAAAGGGAGGGGGGTCTCATTTCGGGGGGGGGGTCTCTTCCAGGCTATTTTGGAGGGCCTGGGGGGGTCTGGGGACGGTGTTTTGGAGGGTTCTCCCACGGGGGAGGTCTGAAATGGCTTGTCTTGGAGGGTCCAGACCCCCTCCCTTTTATTACGAAATCTGGAGTACCCTCCTGCTCATCACGCGCCTCGTGGACCAGGAGATTCGGGGCGGAACGATCGAGCAGCCACCACTGGCGGACGCGAGTCGGCAACCTGATGGACAGACGACCGGGCACGAGCGTGCTTCCGAGTAGGAGGAGGAGGAGGAGGAGGAGGAAGAAGAAGAGGAGGAAGAAGAGGAGGAAGAAGAGGAGGAGGACGAGGAGGAGGAGGAGGAGGAGTAGAAGGAGGAGGAGGAGGAGGAGGAGGAGGAGGAGGAGGAGGAGGAGCAGGAGCAGGAGCAGGAGGAGGAGGAGGAGTGGACGAAGCAGGAGAAATGAGGGGGAGGAGGAACAGGAGGATGAGAAACAGTGGGAATAGAAAAAGGAGGCAGGATAGGGAGGCAGGAGCCTGAGCGGGAACAACAAAAACAGAAGAGGCAGGAGGAATGAGGAGCTGCAGCAGGACGACGAGGAGAAACAGACCAATCAGCAGGAGGCAGAGCAGGAATCTTGACCAGGGAAAGCAGGAGGAGTGGGAGGAGAGAGGAATGGAGGAGGTGGGGATGCCAAGGGGAAGCAATGGATCGGGAGGGTGCGGGGACAAGACAGGAGGGGGGCGGGGGAAGAAAGGAGGAGGGCGGCGGGGAGGAAGGCGGGAGCAGCAGGGCGAAGGTGAGCTGGACTGGGGGTGTGCGGAAAGCCCCGAGATCCGACGTCGCGAACGAAACTGCAACATCGCGGCAAACCACGACCAGAGCACTGGACCACATCTCTCTTCGGTACTTCTTGCGTCGGATCCGTCCAGGAGGGCCGCGGAGCCGAAAGGCCAAGCCATGACGCCCAGTGGGAAAAAACTGACCGATCCCAGGAGAGAGGGTGGGTAGAGACCCTGGTTTCCCAGAGCTGATACATCACTCGTAAGTCAGACCTGTCAAGGCTGCTCAAAACCCCTAATGAACTATAAACTCAAGCGTCCTCGTGCTAATCTTTAGCTATCCTGGAAGTCAGGGGCCAAACATCCGACGCTGGGATTTTGACACAAGGTGGCTCTGCTCAACCATCGGCTCCCCAAAGGCAGTGGGCCCCGGAAACGGCAAGGCCGTTTTTTCACCGTTTCCGAAGAACCATCTTTAGGAACTGGAAACGGTGAAAAACATCAACTGGAAACGGCAAACCAACTTCTATGGAATTGGAACGGGAACCGGAACCAACAGAACAACGGCGGCGGAAGCCGGAACGGGCAAAATAACGTCAAAACGGAACTGGTAACAAAAACGGCCCTGTCGTTTCCAGGGCCCACCAAGGCCTGGCTTCCTTCTGGGGGATCGTTTCTCTTCTTCCATGATGTGTGGAAGCTGTTGGGACGACTTCGGGGCTCGGCGAATGCTCCCAGGAAATATAGGGGGCCACAGGCGAACCCTACCCCTACCCCCCACGATTCCTGAGGGGGAGGGTGGGGTAGGGTTCGCATGTGGCCCCCTACAGTCGGGGCGTTGACCTAAGGAACCCTAAATAAGGAACGAGGCCCCCTTGTTTTATAAGTTAAACTTCGATTTACCATTGAAAACCTAAAGAAAACCCAAGTCAAACTGTGAAACAATCAAGGAACACCGAGCCCCTCCCCAACGAAAAGGGTTCCTTCTTCAGGGCCCCGACTGTAAAATAAGCACTGCCGCGCGAGCGACAAAAAACGGGCTCTGCGCGAGATGGTATGGCGACCTTACGCGGCGGCTTACGCGGGCGGGCGGCCAGCGCGGCAGGCCGCAGATGGAAGCGAGGGCGCGCACGCGCGGCCTCGCACGCGGGCAGCTTGCGCTCCAATTGTCGGCGAAGGAGAGCCCGGGCTCCTCCGCGGCCCGCGTGCCCGTCGACTCGATGGCTGCACGGCGCAGGAGGAGGAGGAGGAGGAGGAGGAGGAGGAGGAGGAGGAGCAGGAGGAGGAGGAGGAGGAAAAGGAGGAGGGAGGAGGAGGAGGAGGAGGAGGAGGAGGAGAAGAAGGAGGAGCGAGGGGGAGGAGAAGCGAGGAGCTGGGCAGAGACGAGGGGGTCGCGCGGCGGCGTGACGGGAGCGCCCTGCCTGGCTGCAGGCCACGTCCGACGACACCTCCCGAGGGCACGCCACGGGCCGCTCGCGCGGGGGCTCTTTGCGAGGGGCGCCCGCTCGCGCGGGGCGTCCGCTCGCGCGGGGCGCCCGCTCGCGCGGGCCGCTCGGCGCCGCGGGTGCCGCGAGGGTCGCTCGCTTGGGGGGCCACATGCGAACCCTACCCCTACCCCCCACGATTTCTGAGGGGGAGGGTGGGGTTGACTTCGTTCGGGACCTCCCGAGCGAAGTGAACCCCACCCTCCCCCTTAGAAATCGTGGGGGGTAGGGGTAGGGTTCGCATGTGGCCTCCTATCGCTCGCGCCCGCGAGCCGCTGCCCCGCAGCGCCCCCCCCGTCAGCTGCGCCGTCGGCGAGCAGACCTCTACGGTCGGACTCGACCGGACAGGGCACGCGAGAGGGCACAAGGCTCTCCCGAGGGCCGCCTTGCCACAGGAATGCAGGAAGCAGGGGTCGCGAGACACGGGACACGAGGGCACCCTTGATCTGGCAGGGCCGACCTACTGATCCGGGCCGACTGTGGGTCACCTGACTTCTGCCTCTCGGACGTCCATTCCCTGTGTTTTTTGTCGGTTTCGTGCGTGGCTTTCTCGCCAAATGATCGAGGATGCTCCTCGATGGCCCTCGCCGAAGGAAAAATGCGCACGTCCGAGCGATGCCAAGTCTGGAGAAAGGCAAACTGCCCTGGCCCGGAGCGCGACGCGCGCGGCGCTGCCCTCCTCGCGCCCCCCCGGGTGCCCCGGACAGCTCCGAGCGCCCGTCGCGCCTCTGCGCGCGGACGCTCGCCGCCGTCGCGCACCGCGCCCTCTGCGCGCCGACGCGCCCCGCCGCCGCGCGCCCTCGGCGCTCCGACGACGGGGCGGCGGCGCGCGCCGACTGCGTGTTGTGCTGCGTGCTGCGCTGCTGCTGCTGCTGCGTCGTCGCCACGGCCGGTTCGCTTCGCCGACGGCGCGCACGCGCGAGCGGCCCGAGGCACACGTCGTGACCTGTTGGGCCGCGGCTCGCCGATCGCTGCAGGTGCAGTGCGGCAGCAGCGGCTGCCGTGCCTGCCTTCCCCCCCCCCGCCGCTCGTGCACCCCCTCCCGCGCGGAACGTGAAGGGGCCTCGGGACGCACAAACAAACAGACACAAATAACAGGATTCCCCGTATTATCTTGGTTTTCGTCTTCCCCCACGTTCCATGTTCTCCCATATGTTCCTGGAAGTCGACGATGAATTGTGTCTGTGGTTTCTCCCCTCCTGAGCGTGTCAGGGCGACCGCGCATCCGCGGGATCGCACCCTGGAATCTCAGTATGCCTGGGGGGCCAGGCCTAAGAGGGTCGGGGCGCAGGGCGCTCGGGAGGCGCAGCACTCGTCTCTTTCCCCATCTGCAGTGTCTGTTTGGGATCAACTGGCCACCCTGGGCGACGCGCCGACACCTCCAAAGCTGCACCGGCGACCAGAGCAGAAAGTTGTGAGGTTCCTGCACGCAGCTCCATGGAAAGGCAGGGGGGCCTGGCCCAGGAACAGACTTCGAGTAGGGGATCGACTACGACATTGATTTACATCAAACTTGATGTCTTGTTGAACGTACAACTACAACAGTTACATATAATGCTTGTAGATTTACGAACACTAGACGCATGTTTCGTAGGATTGACGAACAGATCAGGTTTGGGCTAAACCAATGCTGTAGCCGATCCCCTACAAGGATGCTCGACCTGGAATCCAAACCGCGAGGGCAAGGACACCGGTGCGCTCGCCGCTCGTGCCCTGCGCCACCCCCCCCGACAGCCGCGCACCGAAGGGGCACTGCGGCGAACGGCCACTCCCCCCGCGACGCCGGCCGCGAGCCCATCCGACCCGGGGCGCCCTGCACCTTCGGGGAGACATGAGACTCGGGTACGGGGGACTCGGGTTGGCCCGACGGGGTCATCATGATAATGAGGCCGACTCTGGAATTTGATGCGATATCCCGCTGCAGACACCCCACGGAAACTGGACTGTCAAAATCCGGGGCGTGCTCGTCAAAAAGCGTAGGCGAACCCGAGTTCCGGCGTACTCGAATCTCACGTGTCCCCGAACGGAAGAGGGTGCAAGGCCCCTGGGCTGGCTTGACCGAAACTGCGCTTTTCGTGCTCGCTTCAGTTTCGCTGTTCTTCGTTCTGTCTTCGTCCCGCCCCTGCTGCAGAACGCCATCGAGAGGACATCGGCCCACGAGATCGCCCCAACACTCCCGGCCGTCGTGTGGGGTAGTGCATCCCAGGATGTCGCCCCCGCCACGCACGGCGCGTTTTCTTAGCACCGCACCCGCACCAACTAATTACGACAGCTTGTCCAAAAAGACAAGAGGTACAATAAGACCAAACATACGAATAATAATCCACATGATGATAACAATAAGACACATAATGCGAAGCACAATAAAATAAGGATAGTAATCCTAATGGAAATCCGGAAACACACGGGCTCCCCTGCTTCTTTCCTCCCTCCCTCCCTTTCTCCTTTTATTCATCATCCTTATCCTATACGATTCTTATTGCCACCCCTATTGAATTTCCCGGCCGGCGTGTGCATCCGAGAATATCGCCCCCGCCTCGCACGGCGCGTTATCTTAGCACCCGCACAAAATTATTCGCCCCACATCGTAGGCACGGACGGTTCCTTTTCAAAAATGGGCTCTCCCTTGCATGGGACTTACTGCTGTTATTGTTGGTGTTGGCGGTGTTGTTGGTGTGGTGTTTTTGATGTTGATGCTGCTGTTGGTGTTGCTCTTATTGGCCTTGTTCTAGATATAATTCCTGGTATTAGTGTCGTTGTTCGTGTTCGTGCCGTGCCGTACGGGAGTCTTGAGGAGGAGGAGCAGGAGGAGTCGTTTTCCTGTTTAGCTGGAAATAATAAGAATCACAATAATAAGAAGAATAATAAGTATATTCAGAGTAAGGTTTGCTTGTTTCGGCGAGCAGACTCGTCTGCGTTCACATAAAGGTGCGAGGTGCCAGAGTAACGCTTCTGGGGTGCCGGGTGCATTATACTTTCGCCGGAGAGGGGGGGGGGTTCTTAATTGCTTGATGCGGTTAGTTGTGGCTGGTGGAGGAGGAGGGAGGGAGGGAGGGACGGAGAGGAGGAGGAGGAGCTCTCGATCTCCCAAGGACCCTCCAGGAAAACGAACCGTTTCATCCGAAACCTTTCTACTCGGATGAATTCACGCGAGACGATTTTATCCGGACGAGTTCTTCTGGGCAACTTCGCGCGGACGAGCTCATCCCAATACGAATTCATCCAACAACAAGCTCATCCAGAACGTTATTCCAAATGAACTCGTCGCGGAAGAATCCGTTCAGAATCAGGCCTCGACCAAAACATTGCTTTTCGTTTTCGTTTCGTCTTCGTTTCCCTCTGTTCTGTCTCCGCACCGCCTTCGCTGCAGAACGAGGTCAAAAAACGAAAACGGCCCACGACATCGCCAACAGTCGGCGGTGGCCAAACCTCCCTTTAGCAAACCTCCCTTTAGTGGAAACGGCCTGGGACCGAAATCGACGGACCTGGACCCGCAAAAATGACGGCCGCGACGCCCTCTCGCGAACCGAAAACGGCCAATTCCTTAATCTCCACCTCCGAAACAAGCGTTCAGGTCGAGCCCCGTTCTGGACGCGCTGGTCGTCCTCCCTGGGCCGGCTGCCGCGCGGGCTGGCCCGCGCCCCTGCCCCCCCCGTCGAGTAGGGGGTCGACTACAGAATCGACTCACCCCAGAATTCCTGCCCTCGTCGACTCGAGCGTGGTTAGTGTTCGCAGATCTGCGGGCAGTCTTCTGCGCAGTCCTCGTGGACTCGACGAGCAAAATCAGATTTGGTAGGGGGAAAACAAACCTACCTCGCTTTTGACCACCCTCGCTTCCAAGAGACACCAAGCGATGCCAAACTACGGCCTGTACTGGTCAGGAGCTTGACGAGGAGGCGCGTGGTATGACTTGGTTTTCCCTGGAAGCGAAAGCGGGGTAGGAAATTCACGCTCTGATTTGGGGCAAATCAATTCTGTAGCCGATCCCCTGCTCGACCCGGAGCCCCGCCGTGGGCACGGGCGCGAGCGTCGGCAGGGTCTCGTCCGGGGGCGGCGTCAGGGCGTTCACCTGGGCAGGGCCGGTCCGCATCGAAGGATCAACAGCAAGGATACTCCAAATCTCAGATGGATCGCCCCCCCCGAAAAAACCGGACCCCCCCTCCAAATGCGACCTAATATTCCGGACCCCCCTCTTCGGCGGGGCGCCTGGGTCAACAGGATCCCCCAAGCTCCGATCCAAAGAGAACGCCCTAACAAACCGGACCCCTCCAGTTACAAAAAGGGCGCCTTGAAAAACCGGACCCAGGGGACGATTAATAAGGGATTTGGAGTGCCCGAACCCTTTGGGAGGGGAACCTAAGTTGGGAGGGCCACAAAACATAGGGATGAGGGGGCCTTGTCTGCAGATGTACCCGACCAAACCGCCCAGATGTATCACCCCCAGTGCGAAGAAGGGGATCAAATAGAGGCCACGTCTTCATCGTGCTGTTGGGGTCAGCTCTTTTGCCCCCGATTGATCGAACTCCATCGGATGCAACCGAAATGTGCGTCGGATCGGGCCGCACTGGCACGGGATCGAAAGCGGATCAGGGCGGCCGCGCCAGAATGCACCACAGCCCCATGCAAGCCTCGGGCCGCACCGGATCGCCAGACTGGGTAGTCGAAGCCAATCTGGCAGGCCCAATCTGGCAAACGGGGGCAATCTGGCGAGGGAGCCAATGCGAATCCAGTCTGGCGAATAGGTAACCCAAATCCTCCAATATGGCCAGGCCAGATTGGCCCTTGGGGCCCAATCCAGTCTGACAGTCTGGCCTTCGACTACCCAGCCAGAGCATCGAGCTCGAACCCGCTCCAGTGGGCCAGACTCGATAGCGACCCAGATCCGTCGGATCGAAATGGGCCCCGCCCCGGTGGGGAGAGAGGGCGCCTCCGATCGGCCAGCGCGTCGCAGGGCGGCAGGCAGGACGTCCGAGATGGCGCCGCGCGGAAGCCCAGGATGGCCCCCGGAAGTCTGCAAGACGGCCCCCGAGAGGCTCCGAGTTTCCCAAAGAGGACCTCCAGGAAGCAGGACAACCTCCAGGAGGCCCAGCATCGCCGATACCACTTGTGCTTTTCTCAGTGACGTTCGTGCTCTCGCTGTTTCGGGCGTCCGACCGCCTCAATCGGTGATCGTCCTGAAGTATATAACAAAAACTTGCTCTGAGGTGCAAAGGAGGGTCCCGAGGCTATCCGCCGTTGTCCAGGTTCCAGGGGCCCTCCCTGCGCCGCAGGGCCCGGGGCTGTCATAAACGGCTCGGGATGAAATCTACTCTGGAGGGAAGGGCCTGGGGCTGGAATACCATATGTGACCTGCTCTAGATGAGGAACATACCGTAGACCTTAGTGGGCCCTGGAAACGACAAAGCCGTTTTTGTTACCGGTTCCGTTTTGCCGTTTTTGTTGGCGGTTCCGACGCCGTTTTTTCATCGGTTCCGTCGCCGTTTTTTTGACCGGTTCCGGCTCCGGTTCCAATCCTGGAGCCGTTTTTTTACCGTTTCCGGTCGCTGATTTTTTGCCGTTTCCATTTTCAAGGGACATTCTTTTGTGAAAAAAACGGCCCTGCCGTTTCCGGGGCCCACAAAGCCGCAGACGGATATTGTATCCGACCTTGCACTGCGACGAATGCCACGGCCGCGTTGTCTACAGACGTGTCCACACCGAATGCGTCTATGGACATAAGGGCACCCAATGTGTCCGTAGACGCCTGTGGCTAGAACGTGAGAACGGCACTCGGCCCAGGCCCGACATGTTTTTGCTGGAGGCGGGTCGACTGGGCCCTAGGCACCCGAGGTCCACGAGGGGCAGGCCCCCCTGGGTTCCGAGGAGAAACAGGCCCCCGCCACCGGGAAGCCATCGCAGGCGACCGACCCCTGGGCGTCAGCACGCCCGAGCGTCCTCCGGTCCTGGCCAACGCTCTGCCGGGTTCTCGGTCGTGGTGGTCTCCGTCTCTCCCCTCAAGTGTCGCCATGGCGCGGAACGTGAGATCAGGGGGAAAGAGGGTCTCTCGAAGGGGTTCGCCGCTGCTTGGGCTGCCAAGGGGCCGTCCATGAGGCCCGCGATGGTCGAAGACAGCTCAGGATGGAAGCGAAGCGCCAAGGCTGGCGCTCCGACGAGGCGCCCCCTCAGGTCGTTCCTCGGGAACGGCGTGCAGATTAGCAAATCGGCGTCGGCCCTTTTTTATGCAGTGTTTTGCCAATCGGCGTCGGCCCTCGCAACCCCCCCCCACCATGGAGTAGATCTTGGCCGTTCTCTGGCGCCTGCTTCGAGCAGGCGGGCTCTCCCCTCCCAGGACGCACTGTCGCAGGCAGTCGCAACAAGCGGAGGTCTGGACCAAGACCCCCCTCCCCCCCCCTCTCCGCTCAATTCGGGCGTTGGCAGAACTGGGTCTAGTGGGACCTGGTTTAGTGATGTGTACTGGGGGACGCCCCCCCGCCCCCCCCACTGACGGGACTGCCGTCCACCGAAAAAAAAACAAGCCATGGCAATCCTGGCCAATTTGGG